AGATTCACTTTAATTTTGAAAATTTTAGTGAAACACAAAGGAACTGACCTTTAGACGTTTGATAAGTACGTAACATTACTGCTGTTTTCATTGATACGCGGTATCGACACAGCAGTCACAGTAGACAGGAAATCGGGCCAATAGACTAGCGCCAATTAAATAAATCCTGTCCATAAACCTTTACCGACTCTAACGACGCATTTTTGGTAGCCAGTAGTTGTGTAAACGCAGCCCTTACAGTACGTTAAACAATGAAGAGGGGAGGGGCTGAAAGGGTCTTCCTCTTAAATGCAACTTTATTCGGTGAATGAGTCGATATTTTGAAGCAGTTTTTAAACTAAAAGAAAAAGTACCTATCCATCATGCAAGCACCGAATATGTACAATTTATTATTATATCTCATACAACTTTGGTTTTTTTACTAATAGGATATAAATCTATTAAAGTGCCTACTTCTCTATTGCTTGATTTCATAGCCGCCATCTTGGTTGAGTAGAACAAAAGATTGGTCATACACCCTTCTCATAATGGCTGACAAGCGCACAAAAACGAGGCCACCTAGTCACCTTGCAAGGCTGAACAAGTCTGCTCATACAAAATAAAGGTAGATAGCGCGAATTCAGGTCAAAACAAAAAGTCAATTTCTATACTTTTCTTTACTTTCCTTCTATGAACGCATTTCATGTGCTTTTATATCTTCTATTGTAAACTAATGACTTGTCAGCCATTATGAGAACGGTGTATTAGTCTCTTTTTGGAATAATCCAACATGGTGGCCAATTTTTTTCTCTTTCATCCCCTTTGATAAATGGCAACCACCATGCATCTATTAACTGTACATTGTAGTTGTTGTAAATTTACATAAGATAATGTATAGCTGAGAGATTATTGGATACGCAAAAAAATCAGGATTGAAAACACGAGTAGATTCTTGAATAAGTTCCTGTTAAGCGATTTTTATAATTTGTTGCAATCTTGAACCGCTAAAACGGGTTTATATTGGTGGCTTGTTGTGAGAAAATATACTCCGTATTGGCCCATAGCCGCGAAGCCGTTAAAAAACACCCATTGGATACTCAAGTTCGCAATAGACTGTGTGCAACAATGTGACTCACAATCCCTTGAGATATGAATAACAATGAAATAGTCGCCATCTTGGATGATCTAAAATCGTCAACCAAGATGGCTGCAAAGACGTAACATGCACCTGCTCTATATGTTTTGCATTGCGATTTTTCTTTCCTGAGGTAATTCTGAGCCGGCAATAGGGCTTATATTGACGGCTCACCTGCCAATCAAACTTAAAGGAGAGTCGCGATACTCATCCAGAATGTTTTGAATATTTTTTTCACTTCAAACTTCCCACTCGAAAATGATGTCAAATAAGCAACTACATAACAGTTTCTAGTTCTTTTGAAATATAGCTACACGAAAAAAAAGGTTGTTGACGATTTTGTTGCATGTTGCTACTAAGTTTGAAACACAGAAGAAGTTATGCCGGAAAACATGAACAAAGTTGAGAAAATCCCGTGTCGTTGTCACCTTTCGCTGCACATGACCCATAGTGAAATTTGGGATGCAACATGCAACTTGCAACAAAATCCTCACCAACGTTTCTTAAAAGAAAATAGGTGCATATGCATTGCTTTTTGAGCAAGGAATATACTTAGAATTGATGCCTTTCACGATTTGGGTTAATGTTATTGACGCTCTTGAGCCTTGAATTTTGGAGAAATTTATTCCGTATTGCCCGTAGTCGTGGAATATATGGCTTTCATGGCAGCTATGTTGCAGGCACCCTCTCATCTCAATTGGTTGCAGTTAAAGCCTTTAGAATACAAGATGTAGTGGTAAAATTGCACGGCAACGTTATAAATTTTGATTGTTAAGCAAAGGGGCTCTGGAAATTATCCCTTCAAGTCAACCAAAAATCTAATTTTGAAAGACAAGTCACAGATAGCAACTAGTAACCCTCGCCTATGGCACCAACAGCACATCAAGATAGTAGTGAGCTCCACATCCACAGCAGCGGTAATTTACGCGTTCGTCCTCATGAGGATTTCTGTTAAAAAGGGTAGGATAGGAATATTAATACCGGTGAAAACAAGAC